CATTGAACCTGTTTGGATTTTGAAGGGGTTTTCAAAAATTAGCAATATGAAGACATCATCCAGATGTTTTAAGCAATAGTGATGGACTTTTTTGCAAAACTGTCCCAAGGCAGCATGTACATCCTGTTACGTTAGGTTTATATCAGTGAGGACAGTGGAAAAACGAATATATTTAATGAGGATGTGTAATATTCACTTCCAGAGGTGGCAGTTTTATTTTTACTCTAGTTCAAATCCCAGTGTTACTGCACTGTTAAAGCACTTTATGTGGTGTGTACACTTCTTCTGATGCCTAGCCAAGGTGTTCAGTAGTATAATTTGCTGGTACCACCTCCTGCCACTGCTGGGTTTTTAGCGAAGGAGCCTGTGGTTGCTTAGCAACATACTGTTTGATCCTATGACACTGTCGTGGTTATTGTTAATGTCAATGTTTGTGGTGCAGCTTTTACTGTAGCTTGGACTGAGAGAGACCTGATGTCCCCAGATCTGTCTCTGAACTTTTTTTTTATTGGAAATGCAGTAGGTGAGTGAAGTGATTTGGAATTAAGAAAATGTGCAGAGTGAGAGCTTGAAAGAGAGGCTGTAGCTCTACTTGGTTTCCCCTGAAGGCAGAATCAGGAAACCACTTGCAATGCCCTCCCCACACATACACCATCTCAGAATGTGCGGCCTATTTTCCCTGTCAAGGTGGTGTCCTAGATTCAAAGTTCTATCTGATGAGTAAAACAGTAAGGCAAAGAGATTATATCAAGACGGATGTGCAGGACGGGGGCGTCAGTTAGGTCTGAAATCCAACAGAATGTTCCTTTCACACACTGATGCTGTACTATTCTGTTCAATTTAAACCTGCTTTTGCAGTGAACTCAGATGATGGAACCTTGGGGACATAGAGCGGTGTGCCCCTTGCATGCATATGCCATCTCTTGGTGAACTGTGCCTGTGTGCTCCTGTTTGTGCTATTAATTAACCCTCAGTGTAGGTGTTGAGGCAGGGCAGAATTCACCCAGGTAGAGTTTTGACTTCTCAGTGCAAATTAAATGATTGAATGTGAAGCTCAAAGCAACAGCTGGTGATGACTGCATGTAGCTGAAGACGTGCAGAGCATGTGGTACCTATTATACAGTACTGCAGTAGCGCTTCTTGGATTCAGATCTGCTACTGTGAAATGCTACACTTGTCAGTTGTTCGTTCAATACTGTCAAATATTTTACAGCACTCAACATCTCAGGGCAGTGGTATAATTTTATGAGAATACACTTGTGGCCCAGTGCAGCAAAACGCCATCAAATCCCTGTGTGTCTGGGTGGGTGTGTGTGTGTGTGTGTGTGTCTTCGCTGTCATGCATTGTTGTTTTTCTTTTTTTAAGTGTGTGTCCCACATGGGAGGCTCTTGTGTGCACATAAAATCGGTGCACTTGCTGCAACAGCCTGGGTGTGAAAGTGTTGCCAGGCATCCGTTTAATAAAGATGGAACGAGCACAATGGCTGCCTCTCCCTCCCTAATCTCGTCTTGTGCTTTCATAAATTAGATAACTGTGACACTCTCTCTCTCTCTCTCTCTCTCTCTCTCTCTCTCTCTCTCTCTCTCTCTCTCTCTCTCTCTCTCTCACAAACACACTAATACAGAAGACAAGCATACATCTTCTACATGTACAATACACTGGCCCCTTAAAGGTCTAAAATGCACATTTCTTAGTGCTGCTCAGTCTTTTTTTTTTTTTTTTTTTTCTTTCAGCATCAAAATCCAATTAGCCTCCCTCTTTGTTCCTGTCACTTATTAGTCTTTCTGTAGGCTCACACAGGAATTATTACAAATATAAGCACTCTGGTTTTAGGGGGATTAAATACTGGAAACCCTGCAGCATCAACATGAAGGTCTTTAATAATTCATATGTGCTGCCTGGTGAAGACACAACGTGGACTGTAGCACTTTAAAAAAAACGGATCCATGCAATGAACAGCTTGACCATTAGATGCGATATCGCAGCATATGTTGCTACCTGAAAATTAGAACTGTAGATACCAGATTTTCTGTTGCACCTAGCTAGCTATCACATGCTAATCCCTTGAGCTGGTCAAAAACTGTCTAGCTGACATGTTAATGTTTCTACCGTAGCTGATGTTTTAAAGCAGTAATGGTCTTAAATCTGTACATACTGTAGTTGCTACATACGGCAATTGACTGTATGCTTTAAGACTAGGTCTAAAGC